AATTTTCCACACTTATAGAGAATATAGAGAAGAAGTGCACAATGCTAATTTTTTTTTAAAAATAATGCATAAAAGATACATTAAATCAATAAAGAAAACATTACACACACTACATGCCATGTATTTGACGCACACACGCATGCATACTATATATTGTCAAATTTTTGTTCTTGACGTCTGTTGTCAAATTGAGAATAGATTAAATATTGGTTGTCTTTGTTAATATTTTTATAGTGTAGTCTTGGTGAAATTCGGGATTATAGAAGTATAAAATACAATCATAATAGTGTACAACCTTACAATTCCAATTAATTATAGTCGAATTTCGACTACTGCGGGACCTCTAGTATGTTTAAAACGTCGAAATTCGAAGATATTAAAGAAAAAACCACATATGTCACAACCAACGACCACGAAAATAAATTGAACTCCCATTTGCGCATACGTAATTGCGAGTACGTATTTGTTTTACTAAAAATGTGGAACAGTAAACTTATTTTTCTGAATTTACACTTATGAGTTAAAATATAATCTTTGTTAGTAAATAGAAGTAGCTTATAAACAAGGCACCATCGGTCTTTATTGAATAAAACTTCCGGCTTGTAGAGAAAGACACTAAAATTTCTTAGGTTTTATTTCCGTACTTGACTGGATCTACTAAATCCCACGTAGTATTAAGTGGTTTTCGGAATTTACACGCATCGAAAACGTGAAGGTTCGTCAAAGAAACAGAAAAGTCGGTGCTTGTCTCAATATTTGGATCCCGGACTAATCTATCGGTATAAACACCCATCATTTGTTCCATTCATATGTGTATCCAGCTTAGTTTATTAAGAATTATGAATTTAAATATCTACATCGTTTATTTTCCCAAAAGTTCTTCACTTCGCTAAAACCGAATAAAAAATCGACTCTCAAGAAACATCATCTTTAAGTGGATGCTTCAGAAACATAAATAACGATCTCTAAACCGAAGTCGGCGTGTGTTCACAGAAGTTTTAGCATAAATATAATACAGACGCGCTAACAAGACTGAATTTATATATAGTTTCAATCTAATCCCATACTGAATTAAATAACGATACGATTTGCGAGAAACGTTTTGAAATTTTTCAACAAAATTCTGCTATTTCTATGCTAAAGGCTACATCGATATAACATAGTGTAATACGACATGATGCCAGCAGATAGCAAAATTTTTTTTAGAATAAATCTAGAATAAATCATTATGTCTATAACCACCCCGCCTATTTCTGCCGTGAAGCATTAATGCGTTTCGATTTGAACGATGGCGAAGGATGCCGCAGTACTGCAAATTTGAAATCTTAAAGCTCTTGTCTTAGGGTGGGTAGCGGTATTTCCAGGGGAACGGCAACCCAGCTCGGCGAAAATTCAAGCGAGGAGGCCCCAATTTCGGGCTCGAGGCATGGTCTCGCCACCTGGTGACAGACTGTCGATGCAATCCGCCCAGTCCACTCGGACTGAGTGAATCGCGATCGAGAACTTCTCACTTTTCGGGGGACGTAGGTGCTCACGGGCTACTAGCACCTCGTCGCTCGGAGGGAGCCGACACCGAAGTACCACTACTGCGACGATGACGTGGCGGAGCACATGCTCGCGTACTGTCCCGCTTTCGCGGAGCAGCGACGTGTCCTCGTCGTAAACATAGGACCGAAACTATCGATGCCGACCATCCTGGCTACGACAATGTACAGCGACGAGTCCTGGCAGGCGATGCTCGACTTCTGCGAATCCACCATCTCGCGGAAAGTGGTGTGGAAAGAGGAGAGAGGGAGAGCTCTTCTTTCTTCTACCACCGTCGCCGAGCTGGGATTCGGAGGAGGGCGTACGTCCAGCTCCAGCCGCTGTGTGGAGTCCTCTCCCTGTAATCATCATGGGGTGACCTGTAATCATCATGGGGTGACCATGGGGTGGCCGGGCACCAGGACGATGAGACGACGCGTCGGCAGCTGGGGTCCGAGTTATCGTCAACGCTGTCGTCGCCGGACGTACTGTGGAAGTGCAACTCGGTCGGCAGTGTAACTCGTTCCAACCCGGCAGCCGGCAGGGTGGTTCTGGCCCAGTGAGGTATCCTGAAACACCGGCACCGCTCGGGTGGCCTGACGGGCTGCCATACCACGGAGACCGACCTCGTTGGTCGTCGACGATCGCCTCCACATCCCGTCGGTTGGGCGTCATCGAAGTGGCACCGTGAATCTGGATGAAGTGTTGACCGCTGGAACCCACCTGGTTCTGACCTAGGGCGGAGATCGGGCACCAGGAGAGTGCAAGGGAAGCCGTTTGGTGGGTTAGACCCTAAAAACATCCTTGGGGCCCGCGGTCTGCTCCTAACATCTGTAGATAGTCAAGTCCCACATACCCGGAGTGCTCTTTGGCGGGGACACTTCGAATGATGTTTGGAAAATAAGAAGGGTGACGGCATTTATGCTGTCGATGTTAACAGCAGGTGGCCAGGTGGCCTCGTTCACCCATCGAAGCTGTAAATAAAAACACACGCCCAATTTATCATTCCAAAAGCATTAATTGGCCTTACAATTATTACTACCATATTTACGAAATTGCAAAATTTTATGGACACTATACAAATGTCATTATAATTTTAATATCCAGTGAGATAGTTATAAAAACGCTTGATATAAGTAAGAGGAAAATTAATATCATCGATGCGCTCTTAATATTTAATTACGCAGTAAAAAAGACAGATAAAGCACAAAGGGTAGATTCATTCGAGCATCAGAGTAATAAAATTAAAAGTGATGAGTGACAATACGTGTACTGGGTAATGAGAGTACTTATCAACGCTTTCAAAATTCGCACGTTTAGGTACTTTTAGCAAACAATGCATTCACGTTTATATTTTATTATATCCACGAAACATTCCTGATAACGTTGAATTTATCAATTGACTCACGATTTACAATTAAAACAAAAAGCAAGGCCGAATCGATATTTTCAGCGCCGCTCCTGAAAGTTTTAACGTAAATGTTTATGATGAAAACGTTTCTTTGATTTATTTAGTCTTCACGAACGCGTCAGTGAATATTTATTAATTGAACATTTTCGAGATCTTTTTTTTAATTTTTTTAATCGCGTACCGACGCTCAAGCCGTTTCAAAACGTTTCGTGGGTAGGCCTCTCAAAAGGTGGATCGGCGACCTATTGAGGTCCGCGAGAAACTTTTTTTTTTTCTACCTAAGCTGATGAGCCTTGAGAGGCTATTTCAGCGTAACCTTAACTAGTAGGTGAGCTCACGGGGTTCAAACCTGACGACGTTGCTAACACGAACCCTAGAATCTACCACCGGATCGGAAACGCGACCCACTGAGAAGATCCGGCGAGAAACTCAGTGGGCTGTGTCTGTGAGTTAATTTACTCGTCGACCCCTTCGTCGCAAGCGGCGGGTTCGACGAGGACGATACCGATGCTTGTGGTACCTAAAAGCACCGTTAGTGGATCGGGAGGATCCGAAATGACGTGTTTTGGGCGACGTCGACTGTTTTCCATTCTGTCCGCAGGATCGGGAATTCGGGACGGAGGCAGTGCAGGATCAGTGGTTGTGTTGAGTGATCGATTGATTTTCAATTTTATGTGGCGGGATTTTTTTTGGTCGTAATAACAAAAACATGCGCCTTAATCAATACCAGTACTATTGTTGTCATAATTTTAAACTTGGCTAAATGTTACAAGCTAAAAGGTTCAAGCATATAAAGGTAGTCAGCTGGGTTGTATATGTATTATGCAAGATGTGCTCCGATTTAAACATGAAAGTGCTCACAAGCGGGAACCTATTATTTGAGTCGAAATTATTAATAGCATAGGTGAAGGTGGCGTCTAAATAACGCGTCCGTCTCATACAAACAATCCCAATATAGGCCACGCCTTACATAATAATGGCCCGGCCGTTGACCTATCGAAGCCTTAACTTATTTTTCGACTCAATTCTTTTCTATGATTAAGCGACTAACATAACGGAAAGATTAACTTTATTTACTGGTGATACGGCATATTGTGTGCGCACATGAGTTGACTACGTCACGTCGTGCTGGTTTGCTGCAACGCTAAAAAAGCGCTTGAGTTTGTTGATAGATATCTAATTTTACTACTTTTACGATTTAATCTTGCGTTTTTTATTGTATTTATATTATTTCCGATATTTCGAACACTACAGTTTTCGTAAATTTCGTAATATTACTTTTAATTATTTAATGTATGTCGGAGAAGCCACAATTATTAACACCATCGTCAGACATCGTAGAGGCGAATACGGTGATCGAGCTAAGCGAAACATTCAGTACACCAATCTCGTGTGCTGTCTTAGAACAATTTAGAAATCTTCTCTTGATGTTAGCAAACGAAAACGAATGACAGTTCGTAGGACGTAGGCACCGCTCTTCAAGAAGGCTGGTTGATAATTGTGTAATGGCGTCTATGCGCCTCCATCGGCTAGGCTTTGTCGTAGTACGAAGTTAGCCGAGTTCCGACGATACCGCGATCGTGCTGCCATCTCTCCGGAATCGTGCTGCGTTTCGTTTAGCTACCAAACTAATGACCGTCTCCGACCTGTATATTGAGAGGAAACCAAAATCTATACATAAATATAAATATAAATATATATAAAAATATATATATAAATATATTTATATATAGATATTTATATATATATATATATATAAATCTACAGTGGTTTTTACGGATTTTCCGTTATAACCACGGAATAGATAAATTATTGATCTATTCCGTGGTTATAACTACTGAACCGTGCATCCGATTGACTTGAAACTTGGTATCCATGTAGAAAATACATGTACTTAATGAATAGGCTAACATTTATATGAGTGTTGGACACCTACACCAGTTGCGGGGGCGTTAATGATGAGAATCTTTATGGGGCTGAGAAATAATAACGTTAATTTTAAATGCCCAGCGAAGCGGACGGCTACAGCTAGTAAATATAAAAAATATGTGTTTCTTTTTTGCAGACATTCTGCGTGGTGTCAAAAAGATTCCGTAAGAACTACATACATCGGTTCACCGCTACAAGATCTCTGTTCTGGTGGTCGCCCTGGTCTCCGGTTCGAAGAGCCTGCGTCTATCTCTCCACTAATCAGTACTTCGACTACTTCGTCATGGCGACAATCCTTCTCAACTGTGTCTTCCTCGCCATGTCGGAGACTATCGAAGAAGCTGAGTGAGTATTGATTTAACAAAACATTTTTTTTTATTGCTTAGATGGGTGAAGGAGCTCACAGCCCACCTGTGGGTTAAGTGATTACTGGAGCCCATAGACATCTACAACGTAAGTGCGCCACCCATCTTGAGATGCAAGTTCTAAGGTCTCAGTATAGTTACAACGGCTGCCCCGCCCTTCAAACCGAAACGCATTACTGCTTCACGGCTGAAATAGGTAGGGCGGTGGTACCCACCCGCGCGGACTCACAAGAGGTCCTACCACCAGTAAAAAAACGTAAGATTATTTGTCATTAAACCGGTGTTTTTAATTGGTGGTAGCGGTGGTTGGCGGTGGTTATAAAGTGTTTTTTTTTTAAACTTCTACGTATTTATCTGATTATTTATTTATTAATAATATTTTTTTAATGATTTCTTTATAATTTTACAATTGACAATTAGGATTATTTAAAAAAAAAAGTGGTGGTTTTGCTTGAGTGAAGCTGCCTGATACCACCACGAGTAGCAAGGTATCATTCACCTTAAATATCATTAAATTTCATAGTATAACATGACGTGCAAGTGTTGTCGATAAAATGTAACGATCACATTATTTTTTGCATCAAGTGTCCTAGTATTCTCTGGGTCATGTGAAAAATAAATATCTCATTGAAACTGTAAAAGATTTACAGTTAGGAATTGTTGTTACACCGATAGAATTGTAATCTCAAACTATAAAAATTGAATATTTGTACTATATAATTGAAACTTGAAACCATAACAATTTTAAATAATTGTACAATATAAACCTTTTTTTTTGTGATCAAAGTATTTCTGACGCGACAGCTAATCAGGACAACAGAATGAAAGAAGATTCATTAGATATCCTTTCATTCCAGGATAATTAGTATTATATATTTTGTCAACAATCATTAAAATTTTATTTCGATATCAGAGAAGTCACATATTTTTCCCTTATTATTAAATAAGGCCTACAAACGAATTGCAAAAATGTTTTGTTTAATTCTTTTAGTACATCTAAAAGAAAATCCCAGGTGTTTATTGAAAACTAGATCACTCTTACAAAGATCACACGCGAAATTTCTATACACTCAAGAATAATTTAGTTTCCAGACTAAGTTCAGCTTGAACAATCCATTGCAGTAATTTAAAAATCGAATTACGGGTACTTTGTAAAAATATAAAAACAAGCCATCTAACTGATCCAATCCGATTTGGTGTGTTGTGTAAAAATTACGTGATGCGATGGGCGGTAAGGGTAATTTAGCGGCGCGATGAATATAGGAAAACACTCCTTAATCAGAAAACATAAGACTCATTACTCACCTAATGTTCTCCAAGTCCCCGTACTCTCCAGTGGTAGGGGTCCTTATGCATATTCAGCGGCGAACGGAAGGCGAGCACTTGACAATATTAAAGAAAGTTCTGGTACCTATGAAGCGATAGCGGTCGTAAAAATTGGATTTAATTTAGATATTAATATTTTCGGTGTTGCGCATTAAGAAGCGTGAATGTAAATGGAACATGCGCGAGTTCCAAATTCAAAAATTGCGTTCTTCGCTGTTCCATTTTTGAAATTCCTCTGGCTTCAAGGAGGATTCATTGGAACATACAAGGAGGCGGCATCACAAGCGTGTAAACTCTAAATTTAAAACTGTTTTCTTAAATAATAAGGCGCTCATCTACAATCTCCAGATACTCTTAAGATGAAATGGGAAGTTCAGGCAAACTACGACAAAGCTGCAAGAACTTTAATTAATTTGTAATCCACGCAGCAACAGGACAAAGGGATCTTAGTCAGTACTCGGCAATTCTTCGTAAGTCAGCTTAATTCTTCTAGAAGGCGTCACGGCACGCTAACCCTCTTATCGTAGTCGTCTCGATTCCCGATCTAGATGGCGGGGCCACGCACAGCCGCCGTCGTCCTATACTTAGACATACTTGTCAAATCGGATCCTCCCGATCCACTCACGGTTCTTTTAGACATTTACAACCACCGGGCATTGTTCTCGTCGAACTCGTCGAATGCGAAAGAGTTGGACGTGTAACCTAACTTATAGACACTACTACCCATGGAGTATCGCTGGACCTCACTCGTGATTCCGATCCGGTGGTAGATTCAACGAAGCACCGCTCTTGCTAGGGCAAATATTAGCAAAGTCTTTTAGTTTGAGCCCCGTCAGCTCGCCTACCCGTTTGGTATAATCAGACTAGCTCCTGGTCATTGATAGGCATAAAAGTGGCTGTGAAAACCCAGATTTTTACTGGTGGTAGGATTTCTTGTGAGTCCGCATGGGTAGGTATCACCCTGCCCATTTCTGCCGTGAAGCAGTAACCTTAGAACTTATATCAAGGTATAAGGCGGCATTTGCGCTGTAGATGTCTATGGTCTTCGGTAACCACTTAACACCAGGTGGGCCGTGGGCTCGTCCAACCAACAAAGCAATAAAAAAAAACATTTGACATACTATATATACTTAGTCTGGCCATAATAAAGCTTCCTTAGAGCTTTGAGCATAAATACGGTCATTTTGTTTGTTAAAATGTTGCTCAATTGTAAAAAAATTCTCATCCGTAAACAAAATTTTTCTATGACCTCCCTTTGCGTACCGCTTCTGTAGTTGTTTCGATTTTACCACCCTATTCTCTTTTAAATTATCAGTTAAGAAATGACCAGTACGTCTCTTATAGGCTGCAAGTCCTAAGTCATCTTTTAAAATACGCGACATGGTTCTAGGTGCTATCTTCATCTTCCGAGATAAGATATTTTGCTTTCGGACAGGATTTCTTCGAATTATTTCCCTTACTGCTTTGACCGTCTTTTTCGTACGAACACTACGTAGACGGCCAGATATTTTTCTGTCACAAACAGAGGAGGTCTCATTGCACGTATTAATAGCCCGGTACTCAAACATTTTACTAATACCAAGCGTATGGAGAGTTTTAAAAATTGCATTTGGCTCCATACCTACTTTGTGTAATGCAATCACAGCGATTCGGTTCTCTTAATCACCCCACTCCATTTTAATATCGCAAAATATTGTACAATGTATTGGCGCCAAAATGAGAAAACTCAATGAGCAATCATATAAAAATGACAGATTCCAAATTCAAATGTAATATTTTGTTTATTTTTAATTGTAACAGTATTTATGGCCAGACTAAGTATTTTAAACCGTAATTTTAACAAAGAACTACACATCGATGCAAAAATGCTTACCTCAAGTAGTTCGGAGTGTGGTATTTTGCTTTATATTCTTGGTAGATCTTTGTTCAATAATAAATAATATTATAAATATATTAGCAAACAATATTAAAGAAGCGGCAGATTAAGCCATAAAAATGCTTATTCAAATGTACCTATCTTTAATAAAAACAGCACATTAACAAAATTTTAGCTAACACAAACTAGCTTAACTTCGCTTGTGAGAAGTCTAACCACGTCTCGACACTTCAGTCGAAGTAATTTGGAGTCTATCCAAACTCGCGATCCCACTATACAAGATCTTAAATTTATAATTATAATATACTAGAAGAAGAGAGTATGTGTATACATCATAAAGTATGTGTATACATAATATGTTTTATTATGTCTATTTTTCACTCAATTTTGTTTTTTTTTTCCTACCTATGCTGATAGCCTTGAGAGGCTATTTCAGCTTCGCCCTAACGTTTGTAGGTGAGCTCACGGGGCTCTAACGGGAGAGTTGCTAACACTGACCCTAGCAAGAGCAGTGCTTCGCAGAATCTACCACCGGATCGGAACCGCGACCCACTGAGAAGATACGGCGAGAAACTCAGTGGGTTTAATTTTGATATGAATTCAGTGAAGTATTTAAAATATATTTTAATTGAATCGCCCAAGGATGTTCCCGAGTGTCTCATTATCTGCTATTCCTCATTATAATATTTAATCCATCATGTTCCCATCGGTAAAAGTAAAATAATTCAGTGAGTAATTTGAATGTTCAATAATTAATTGTATATAGGTATTAATTTACCTCCTGTGCTTCATCGTAAATTAATGCTTAATCTTGAAATAGCTAAGCTGTTGACTATTAATTGGCGTTGCATCGCTAAACTAACGATATCTATTAACTAGCATACGGAGATCAATCTACTACGTAACATAGTCAACACAAAAGAGCAGTCTTTTTTTAACAGTAATTGTATATTGGACATATTTGGATAAAGCCTGTCTTCTTTAAATTAGTAACTCTATTCCTTAGCGCTCTCGCTTTAGGTGTACAATAATTTCTTTAACACAACCCTTTTAGAATATTTGAGCATGACTATAATGATGATGATGATGATAAATGAGCAACTACCGGTACAGCGTCTGTTCATAATTAATTTAAATAACTAATTACAAACAGATATTCTAACGTGACGTTAGATAAAGTTTTTGACACGCTTTTATTAGCTTTCCGTCTTTATATTTGTATGTAACGGAACCTTTGAGCATTATCTTGACTAAATTACATGGAGCGATGACAATAATATAAAGATACAATGTTAAAACTTCGTCTTAACATCTTAACGGTATCAACAGAATAAAAAGTTGAAATTTATTGTTAGTTTGATTTGCTGTTTAAGCGTCTTTTTTAACTACTTAAAACTAACTTCTTCTTCTTCTTCGTCGCTTTCTTCATTACTAAAGGTCGTATCCTTAAAACATGTAATATGTTGACTAGTTATAACTATATACATAGTAGTATATATACAAGTTATTATTAGTTCAGATCACAACTTCCACAAAACAAAAATGGACTATAATTCCTACAAACAGAGAACTAACTTTAAAAATTTGAACGTAATAATAGTTATAATTTTTTGACAATGTATTGGATATCAAAATCAGTATGTGGTTGTTACTGCAATTAAAATTAAGATCTTCAGCAGCTCGTCTTATTAAAACACCCAATAAAATAGCTGATTAAACATCAACTAATATCCCAATATGAGTTGATTTTCTACGCTTATTGTTGTGTGGTTGAGTTG